CTAGGAGCCCTAATACATGGCATAAACACAGTACAAACCATAAGTAACAATGCACAAGCACCAGAAGAGAGACTAGATACATGGGAGCTCCTAAAAATAAAACACTTACGCTCATCCAAAGACTTCACCGAAAGAGTGAAAAGACAACCTACAGATTGGGAACAAATTTTTGGCTATGACAAATCCGATCAGCATTTAAGCTCTAAAATCTACAAGATACTCCAAAACCTCAACAGCAAAAAGACAAATAACCCAATCAAAAAATGGGCAAAGGATATGAACAGGCACTTCACCAAAGAAGATATTCAGACAGCTAACAGACACATGAAGAAATGCTCAACAATCATTAGCCATCAGAGAAATGCAGATCAAAAGTGCAGATAAGCGTTAAATAATTATATATTTAATTTTATTTTCTGTTTAATTCATATTTGCACTTTTTTATATGTGTATTTTTCCCTTAGGGTCTTTTTTGTATTTATGGTAAAATATGTATAATAAGACATTTGCCTTTAACAGTCTGTTAATATTAAACTTTTTAAGACCAAAGAATAGTGTAACAGATTCAGGTTTACCTTTATGATTAAAAATTTGGGCAGTTTATCTTCTTAAACCTTTTTGAATGAAATTCAGTCTTTTTTATTCCAGAAATAAAAGATTTTTGAGGAAAGAGTGTTAAATGATTCAGAGTAGCACTAGTGATGAAAAGGATGCTGATGTCGAAGATGCATGTGAAGAGTTTGAAATTGTTTCATGAAATATGAAAATGGGGAGAAAAGGCAATATTTTCATTAAATATGTTTTTGAAATAGTTTGATTATAAATGTCCATATAGAGCTAAGTCAATAAATGAGATATTATAGTCTTTTTTTTTTTAATTTAATTTTTGGTGAAAATATACACAGCAAACCCATTCCCATGTCAGTTTCTAGACATAATGATCAGTGACATTGGTTACATTCTTCATATTGTGTCAACATGCTCATTATTTCTGTTCTAGTTGTTTCTATCGTTAATCTCCCTGCCCAGCCTTCTCATCTGTGCTTTAATACAGCTGTTGACCCTTTTGGTCTTATATGGATTTTCTTTTCTTTTTTTTTTTTTTAATGCAGCACTCAAGGGTGACTATCTTTACTCTTTGGACTGAACTGTTAGTTAAAGGTGACTACAGGGGTTAGTTTCAATTCAAGGTTTGAAGAGCACCTCAGGGCTATAGTCTTGAGGACTCTTCCAGTCTCAACAGGTTGAGTAAGTCTGGATTCGTTAAGAATTTGAAGTTCTGTTCCTCATTTTTCTCCCTTTCTATCAGGATTCATCTGTTGTCTTCCTGATCAGAATGTTCAGTAGTGGTAGCCGGGCACCATCTAGTTTTTCTGGTCTCAAGGTATAGGAGGCAGTGGTTCGTGTAGACAGTCTTGTAGTCCAGTTGCTTCTCTGTATAAATAGACATTTAACTCTTTGACTGTTTCATTGACAAAGAAGTTGACGTAAATTGGCGAACAAGTTGTTATACATTTTCTCATTGGGAAGATGGGCGATTGACTGGGCATATGTGACATGATATTGCTTTGAAAACCCTTCAGAATTGTTACAGATATGACATACTTTAAAACTTTATTCAAGGCAAAAAGCTCAGAAGGTCTTAGAAAATAGGTAAAATAAAAATGATCATAGTAACGTTTCTTTTACCATATTGTCCTCAGCTTAAAAAATAGTCACTGACCTTATCCTTATTTTATGGTCTTTCATAATGGCCGAGAAAAGTATTAACTCCCCATAGTGTATGCTAGAGTACACTTTTACTGAAAAATTTGGCATTTGTTTATTATCTGGCCAGTTACAATTAGGGGATTCTGAAGGTTTGGCTTTGGGTTCTAGGTAAACTGAAGGAACTTAACGGAACTGCACCTGAAGAGAAGAAGTTAACTGAAGATGACTTGATACTTCTTGAAAAGATACTGTCTCTAATATGTAATAATTCTTCAGAGAAACCTACAGCCCAGCAACTTCAGATTTTGTGGAAAGCTACTAACTGGCCTGAAGGTACATAAACACTCTTCAAAATGTAACTAGAAAGTAGAAAGTATGTCTTTTCATTGCTATCAATGTAACTGGTGTTCCTAGAGTAAATAAAAGTTCACCTGGGTATTTCTGATTCATATTTTGAAAAACTTGACAAAAAGCATTCCCTATACCACTGTAATTCATAGTCTTTTTCTGGTCACATACCTTCTGAGAATCTGAAGGTAATGGAAAGATCATCCCCATACATGCACCATTTTTATGTGGTTTCAGAGCATTTGTGGATCCCCATCCAAGAAATTTTGTAACCTATTAAACCCAGGTTCCAAGCACTTGCTGTGTTTGCTTGTGTGTTTTTTTAGTTTTATCACTTAACTCTTTTTAATTCCAGAAGTGTCCTCCTCCCCCATTTTTTTTTTTTTTTTTTTTGCAGTTGTTTTGTAGGAGAAGTCATTTGTCCTGTAAAATGTCCCACGTTGTGGATTTGACTGATTACTCAATGTGTTCCTCTATCTCAGTCTTCCTGCTAGTGGCATAATTAGATTCTGGTTTAATATTTTTTTTTTTTAAGATAAAAATTGTTCACAGATGATGCCTCATATTATTACGTCCTGAGGAACATGTCTGATTGCCTTACTTTTAGTAATGCTAAGATCGTTTAGTGAATTTATTCAGATGGTGTCTATCAGATCCTTCCCTTATAAAACTCCTCATCAACCTATAAAACATCCTATCAGCATTTGTTAACTGGTATTCTTCTGTAAAGAACTTTCCCTCCTCAACTCTGGTTTTGTTATGGGATTTTTTTAAAGCAAGCCCTTGCCCGATTCATTCCACAAGGATTAACTGAATACTCACAATGTGCCAACCTATTTTTTTAAAGCAGATGTGATCTTGTAGCAATAAATCTAGTTTATATAAATATGAAACTTCAGCACAAGTTTCAGAAGTATACACATTTTATAAAGCAGGCACATGATTTTTCACATTTTCTAAAATGATCATTGTTCATTTTGTAGCAGGAACATAAAACCCTTAAAAATTAAGTAATAGTCATAAGGAATTGTCTGTATTTTCATAAACATTAATGAATTTTTCTTTTTAATAGATATTGTCTTTCCTGCCCTTGATATTCTTCGGTTGTCCATTAAACATCCCAGTGTGAATGAGAACTTCTGCAATGAAAAGGAAGGGGCTCAGTTCAGCAGTCATCTTCTCAATCTTCTGAACCCTAAAGGAAAGCCAGCAAACCAGCTACTTGCTCTCAGGACTTTTTGCAATTGTTTTGTTGGCCAGGCAGGACAAAAGCTCATGATGTTGCAGAGGGAATCACTGATGTCCCATGCAATAGAACTGAAATCAGGGAGCAATAAGAACATTCACATTGCTCTGGCTACACTGACCCTGAACTACTCTGTTTGTTTTCATAAAGACCATAACATTGAAGGGAAAGCTCAGTGCTTGTCAGTAATTAGCACAGTCTTGGAAGTTGTACAAGACCTAGAAGCCACATTTAGACTTCTTGTGGCTCTTGGGACGCTTATCAGTGATGATTCAAATGCTGTACAATTAGCCAAGTCTTTAGGCGTTGATTCTCAAATAAGAAAATACGCCTCAGTATCAGAACCAGCTAAAGTAAGTGAATGCTGTAGACTTATACTAAATTTGCTGTAGCAATGGGGCAGGGGGCTGTGATTTTAAGTTAATTTTTTTTCTCTCACATTTTACATGACTGGTTACATATGGTAGAACAAAATACTGTGGATGAAGTAACATTTCAGATATTGTAAAGGGCGGAGGGGTGACAAAGGAAAAATAAAACATTTTTGCACTGATTAACTGTGAGACTGTACTGTGTAGTGTGGGTAGGTTTTCAAGAGTATAGAAACAAATTAAGAATGAGCTGTAATCAGCAACACAACCACTGCAATGGCATTCTGCCTTTGTTTTAGCCACTCAGGAAACAAGGGCTTTTGTTACTATAACCTGCCTCTACTACTTATATTCTCTAAACTGTTAACTGTGGGTGGTTGTCTTTTATTTAACTTCTTGTCTGCTCACTTTCATTGCTGGATTCTTGTTTTAGGATACCTCCTTCAGAATTTAAAAAAATTAGACTTGTGAATTATTCCAGATATTGAAAAAATATAGAATAATTCTTTGATTTAAGTCATTTGGAAATAAAATTATATTTGTTTGATGGCTCATTTTTAGAGGAAGAAAAAGCATATTGCTAAGATACATGATCTATGAGGTCATGTATCAATTCAGGCGAGTTGATTCCAGGATTATGATCCAGTTTCTTTGGCCTTTCAATATTTGATATAATTCCATTTATCGTTCCAGTTTTGGTACTTGATTATTTATATTTCGTCATTTACATTCTTTAAAAGGGAATTCGGTATGTATTCACTTTTATCAGGCTCTCGCACAAGCAAGGATACATCAAACTACTTCATCTGGACGGCCAGAGCCTGTCGTATGAAACAAGTATTTTTGAAACCCTAGGACGTTCCAGGGAGCCTTAGTGGCACAGTGGTTAAGTGCTCAGCTGCTAACCAAGAGGTCAGCTGTTCAAACCCAGCAGCTGCTCTTTAGGGGAAAGATGTGGCAGTCTGCTTCCATGAACATTACAACCTTGGAAACCCCGTGGGGCAGTTTTACTCTGTCCTACAGGGTCACTATGAGTCAGAATCAACTAGACAGCAGTGGGTTTTTGATTTTGGAAGATGGTTGAGGTGCTGTGCTAAACACTTTGTTTTTTAATCCTCAAAACCCCTTTAAATAAAAGGTGGTATTTTATCTGTTTTCAGAAGTAAAGAAAATGAATAATGATAAGAGAAAAAGGAAATTGAGTTAAGTACTCAAAGCACACTCAAAGCGCGTGCCATATTATACTCCCTAGAGAGGGAACTGCAAATTTGTTTCAGCATCCTAGAGATTTAACACACAAAGGGAACCATCCCATTAATTACACAACTCATTCTATCTACGATAAACCATTTTCTTAAGAGAAGTGTAGTTATTTCTGTTATAAAAAGTGAGAGAGATCTTTTATAGATTCTCATGAGGATGATTTTGCCTAAAATAGTGAATGACATTATCAGTGTTTATGGTATCCTTAACCATGAGTTTTCCTGGCTTAATGGCAAAATGTAGTCTAGAAGAGCAATTCTCCAGCAGGAGGAGAAGCTTCTAATTATCTAGATTAATCCAAGGAAAAACTTTAGGAATATCAAAAGAATGGGTTAAATATAAAGAGAGGGAAAATATGTTTGTTCAGTATTAAACTGCAAGTTCCTGGTGTGTACCTGGACTTTAAATATGTTTGCTGGTTAAGTTAGGAACCTATGCTTTACTTTTTGTTGAGTGGGATTTAGGTGGTAAAATCAAAGTTAAATGGCACAAAGCTAAGAATTTAACCAAGTCAGCCTATTCCATTACAATACACTTTTTTCTTATTAACATTTTCAGTCTAGCATTCAATCATACATACAAACATATCTGCAATATATCGAAATACTATGTACCTTTGAATAATGGTAGAGCATATAGCTTTGGTTAAGAACATAAGCTCATTCTTCAAAATGTAAAAGGTAGCAAATTATAAACACTGTGTGCCTTGTTAGTGCATGTCTTTTTATAACAACTTTTATTATACTATTAATTCATGTTTATTGAAGAATAATTACAAAATACAGTTCAGTAGAAGGAAATAAGCCTAATCCTAGTAAAATGATAAATGTTAAATAGTGGTTTATTGGATATTTTTAAAGACTTTTTCTTTTTTAGTCAAATTTTTCCATAATTTCCTTGAACTTCTTTTTTTCTAGATATGAAAGCAATATACCCTTGCTGAGTTAAAAAGCACACATATCAAATAAAAATTGCCTGAAGTTCCACTACCCGGAGACAACCATTCTTGACATTTTGTGGCATATCCATATGTATGTAAAAATGTGTTTCATTTTAAAAAAAGGATTTATAATACATACTGTTCAAAAACCTGAGTTTTAAACTGAGCAGATATAGTCCACACTCTTTGGATTATATGAATATACTCATTTTCTATTATTGGACTTTAAGTTTCCAATTTTCTGCTATCAAACCATGCTATGATAAATCCTCAAAGCTACAGCTTCATGATTGTCATACTATTGCCTCAGGATTAACTTTTACATGGAATTTGTGGGTCAAACATTAATGTGCAGTTTTTAGGCTTCATATACATTGCCAAATCATCTCCAGTGTGCAAATCTTCACTTCATATTGCACTTGAAACATCACTGTCTGCAAAAGAGCTAAATTACTTTTTTTTTTTGTATTGTACTTAAGGTGAAGGTTTACAGAACAAATAGTTTCTCATGAAACAGTAGTACACATATTGTTTTATGACATTGGTTAACAACCCCACAACATATCA